ACCAGTGGCCATGGTTGTGGTAAAGAGGCCCTTGCCCTCATCATCGTAGAGACATCGTGCTTTGCCAGGGAGAACATTGGCACTCCCCCATGCTATGGAATTTTGGAGGGCACGCTATGCAATTTTCTTTTTACTGTAGAATGTGTAAATAAAATTTGGCTTCTATGTGAAGAAAGAAAAACAGCAAACAAACCCCTCCAAATGTCCCCCAAAAGACAAGGGTCTGCTATGTCTTTTGGGGTGCCTTTGGAGTCTGTGTGCCATGTTTTCAGGAGGGTGGGAGAGAGGGAGATGTCATTTGCATATGTTTTAAAACTCTTTTTTCCTTTCAATGCTTTAAAGAATCACTGTTCCTGGCTGCATGGAATTGATAAAAAAATATATTGCAATGGTACATGTTCCCTGGGGCAATGTTCACCCCAACCCTCCCATGATATGGTTTTATATTTTTGTCTATTAGCCCAGGTAATGGGCATTTTTAGTTTGATAGATTTGGCTCCCATTGATTGATTCCATTGATTTCAATGGAGTTTGGGATCAGCATCCAAACTTCTTTCAAGTTTTTCAAACGCTGCTCAAACTGAACGTAAGGTAGTTTGACTTATCACTACTTGAGAGAGAATTAGAGAATTAGTGAAGTACAGTTATATGTATTAGTAATTGTGGATTACTGCCAAGCAGGAGGCAGAGTCTGCAATAGAAACTTAACATATAAACACTGCTTTACATTAAACCTGAACTTTAGCCAGACATAAAAAACACAAAAAAAGGCAGATCCGTAATCAGTAATTGCACCCCCATGCTCTAGCAGTCTTGAGTCTTGAGTCTTAGCTTTATAAAGTCCAGAACAGGCTCCATAGACCTGTTCTGGATGTAAGGATGCCAAGAAAAATCCACTGCTGGATCATGGGGTAGCACGTTTGCAGGTGGCATGCAGGATCAGGTGAGTATAAGGCTTCCTCATCACCCCTGGAAAAAATAATCTCTTAACCCTTCCAATGATGACACAGCGCCACTGCAAAGAAAAACTTTTTTTTTTCCCAAGAGTTAGGCTTTGAGGTGAACCTGGGGACAATTTACTGAAGGTTATTGCATGTGTTATGTTGGTCACGTGACCACATATCACATGCGATATTGAAAATATCAATTCACTATTGCTTGTATGCAATATTTACCACAAATAGCATAAACTCTCAGTAACCAGTAACTGTCATGATTGTTAAGGAGTGGGCAGCCGCTTCATCCTTAACGATCAATGAGTCATCACCTGTCATCGGGGTTCCCCGCTGACAACTGAATATAAAAAGAAGGATAGCCAGCAATTAAAAATTAAAAAAAAACAGCATGGAGTCCCCCCATCCATACCAAGCTCTTTGGGTCTGGTATGGATTTTGAGGGCAACCCCATGCCAAAATAAAAACAATGGCATGGAGTTTCCCCAAAATCCATACCAGACCCTTATTTGAGCATGCAGCCCAACAGGTCAGGAAAAGGAGGGATGAGCGAGCTCCTCCACTCCTGAACCATACCAGGCCACATATTCTCAACATGGGGGTGTTTTGGGGCATGTTGATGGGGACAAAGGCCTCTTCTCCACAACCCTAGCTGGTGGTTGTGGGGGTCTGTGGGCTGGGGGACTTATTGGACTTTGGAGGCCCCCTTTAGCAAGAGGGCCCTCATATTCCAGCCTCCGATATGTGACTATGTATGGGTTCCATGGTACCCATACTCATTCACCAAAAAGAAAAGTATAGTGTAAAAAAAACATGCAAAGCAGTTTTTGATATATCCTTTAGTAAAAAAACAAAAAGAAATGTCCCCCGGTGTAGATCCATCATTAATCATGATGCCCGCCACCACAGCCACCACTGACTTGAACTTGTTAATTGTCCCCCTTATTATTTAAAACTGAAAAGCACATCACAGCCACCACCACATGGGAGGATTTTTATTTTTAGAAGTTCAGGTTTAAAGTGAGTTTTTTAGCAAAATGAAAAAAAAAACATATTCAGTAAATCTCTGCAATACACATATCCTCATGTTTTATATCTTTTTAAAATGCTGCTTGAAAAATATATAAAAATACTGACTGATCAGGCCAGAAATCAAGTAAACTCCTGACTTCCAGTTTAAGCTGACAGAAGGGGGTGGTGTTCTGAAGTCCAAAAAGGAGTACTGAGCAGGGCTGACAACTGGGATTTTAGTGCACCAGTGGCAAAGATGTCATTTCATACATGACGTTAGAACCACAATGAATTTATGGCATTCTTTTTTGTACTGTCAGCATTTTTTTTAAAGGGATAAGACATTGTCAAACTTCCTGGCTCTGAAGTGATTTACTGGACATTTGTTTTCATTTTTGCATTAATATAGACTTCAAATTCAGTGCTATACTTGCAGAAGGTAAAAATGTTCTGCATTTCTGTTTCACTATTGAAAAGTACTGTTGCTTTAAAAGTCTATTGTCAAGCTGTCCTAGCATAATGATACTGCTCTTTTACTGTATAAAGAAGAAAATATAAAGAAAAAATATTAGTAACAACAAAAAAAATAAATTTAGGCCACCATAAAATATTGTAGACTAGATGATCTTGAAAGTTTGTATTATAACTTCCAATAAAATAATCCATTATTATTCCTTAAAATACTGTACCTTAATCTAGCCACGTAGCAGTTAGAAAAATTAAATTGAGTTTCATCTACTATTAGTATAGCATATATTGGTATATGCAGGGCTTTTTTTTTGTGATAGTGTTCGCTTTTGAGCTGACTGAAGCATAAACTAGAGAATCGTTTTAAACGCATGGATGTTTTCCCTGATAGAAAAAAGATGCATGCAATTGTTGCATACAGAAGTTATTCATTACTTCTAAAACATACATTTAGCCAGCTTTTTAACTGCTGCTCCTGTCATGAGGTCCAGCACAATAAAACTGCTGACTTGATTTTCTTCCAAGCTTATTTTGAGTTATGACAATCTGGATTTTCCTATTAACTTGTTTCCTTACTAACCTTATCCATCCATGTAAACTATGTATAAAATGTACAATATCTTCCAATACTGGAACACCTCTTGAAGGGAAATATTATTGCATTTAACTGCAAGCTGGAGGCGTTCTAAGTAAAAGTAATGCATACAAATAGATATTTATTTTAAAAAGTCTGATTTGGTTAAAGGTACACATCTGATTTAGATATGGATTTTCAATCTCTATTATAAAGGTGTAACTCAAGTCCTCCCACAACTTACTGGGAAACTATTTGATAACAGTATCTCTAAATATTCTCAGTTTCTATATTTTTGATCACTGCATGGGGAATTTGGGTCAACAATAGTTTATTTATGTATTCTGTTTTAACTCCACATATAAAATAAAGACCACTTTCCTGTATTTCATTTATAATGTTCCTTAGGCCAGCTGTAGTACTTTTTTTTACTCACATTTTTTCTGGGAGAACAATTTCTAATCCTGTTTTATAAAAACTGATAATAATACATTTTATATAGTGATTTTTTGAACTTCTTGAAATCATATACCAGTGTTTCTTTATATAACATTTTGGAAGCTAGCAGTACCCAGGCTATCATCACTATAGGTATAGTCTAGATTCTGTACCAAATTTAGTTTACAGTTTTTGAACTTAAAGTACAGAATTAACTACATGAAACATCTACATAATTAAGTACATGTACTGTGGGCAGGCGGTAAGCAGTTAAATAAAGGACTCTCAAAATGCGTGTAATTACTTACACTTTTTTCGTGAATCAGTACAGGTACTATTGTATGCACACTGTATTCATTTACATAGAGGGGTTGGTATATGTAGGCCCCCTTATTTTTATAAAAGGCTGCCCGATTTTGAACAGTCCCTACATGTACCCCCCCAGGGTTGTGGGGAAGGGCCTCTTATCCTCATAAATATGGAGACAAGGCCCTTTGCCAAGGGGGTAAACACTAACTAGGTACCTTCCCCATGTTGAGGACATGTGGCCCAGTATGGTTCAGAAAGCTGAGCTGGAAATTAGGCTGCATGATCAGATTGTCGCAAATGTCCGCACCAGAGGCAAGCACAGCCCTCCATTTTGTTAAGAGTTCTCCCCTCATCCCCCCCCTCTCTGAGAGGCACAGTGACATTTGGCCAGTGGGTGTGTGTGTTAGGAGTGTCACAGGTGGCCAGAGCCCAGCAGGGGGCTAGGAGCTATAAAATCCCCAAGGGAGCTGGGGCCTAGCTGTCCAAAGAACCTGTGCAATTTAACACCTCGTAAAAAGATAACGCAGCCTTCCCAGGAGTTCAAAAGACATTCCAAGGAAGCACGACCAGATAACCTTTTTAAAAATAAATTTTTCCCCTATGTCTCATATCTTAGAATATGAGAGACTTACATAAAAACCAGGCATATCTTCAAATTGGCCAAGAGGAGACGAACAGTTTGATAGGTCACTCTCCTTGTCTCAAATACATAGGAAAGCAGAAAAATAGACCTCATGAACCATTCAGTGTAGAATTTCATAATTCATATCTAATCAATCCTCAGACGTGTCTGCATAATAATCTACCCGCGGGTGGAGTGTCACTTGTGCATATGAAAAGTTATGAGCCAAAACATGAACAAAGAGAGATTTTGGCTCTAGTTTTGGTCTCCTCCCTAAACGGGGTATTGCTCCTTGACTTCAGAGACACCCCCTGCTGAGGAACTACAAATTTGGTGTCAGGCCTAAGAAGAGTTAAGTTGAAGAAGTCTCCCATTTTAACTACCTGCCGACCGCAGATAGCCGAATGACGGCTGCACTGCGGCCGGCCAGTTCTGAGTGGACGTCAATTGACGTCCTCCCAGAACGAGCTCTCCTGCGCGCCCCAGGGGGGGGCACGCACCCGGCGATCTCCGTGATCGCTGTGTCCTACGGACACAGCTGATCACGTGATGTGGTAAAAGGCCAATCACAGCGGCCTTTTACCACGTGATCAGCGGTGTCCAATGACATGCTGATCAGAGGGAAATGCAAGTGCAGGTTCTCGGCTGCACTTTCCTCACGCTGTCAGATCATGAGGAAAGTACTGCCGAGAACCGGCAGTTGTCAGAGCGGGGATCAGCACCGATCATCAGGGCACTGATGATCAGTGCCCTGATGATCGGTGCCCAGCAGTGCCACCCGCAAGTTCCGCCCACCTGTGCCCAGCAGTCCGCCCACTAGCTCCGCCCACCTGTGCCCAGCAGATCACCCACCTGTGCCCAGCAGTGCACCCACCTGTGCCCAGCAGTGCACCCACCTGTGCCACTCTGCAGTGTCACACACCTGTGCCCAGAAGTGCCACCCACCTGTGCCCACCAGTGCCACCCACCTGTGCCCACCCACCTGTGCCCACCCACCAGTGCTGCCCACCAGTGCCACCCACTAGTGCAGCCCAGCAGTGCTGCCAGTCAGTGCCACCAGTCAGTGCCCAGGGGTTATGCCAGTCAGTGCCGCCAGTCAGTGCCCAGCAGTGATGCCAGTCAGTGCCGCCTATCAGTACCCATCATCAGTGTCACCTATCAGTGCCGCCTATCAGTGCTGCATATTAGTGCCGCCTATCCGTGACACCTCATTAGTGCTGTCTATCAGTGCCGCCTATCCGTGCCACCTCATTAGTACTGCCTATCAGTGCCCTTTAGTGCTGCCTATCAGTGCCCATCAGTGCCGCCTATCAGTGCCCATCAGTGCTGCCTCATTAACGCACATCAGTGAAGGAGAAAAAATGCCTGTTTGAAAAATTTTATAATAGAAACAAAGAAACTTTTTTTTTTATTTATAGCGCAAAATGTAAAGCGCCCAGCAGCGATTAAAAACCACCAAAAGAAAGCTCTATTTGTGAGAAAAAAATGATCAAAATTTCATATGGGTACAATGTTGCATGACCGCGCAATTGTCAATCAAAGTGCGGCAGCGCTGAAAGCTGAAAATTGGCCTGGTAAATAAGGGGGTATAAGTGCCCTGTAGGCAAGTGGTTAACATCAGAACCAACTGGGCAGACCATACCCTTTCGCTCTGAAACTTTATCTGCAAACCCAAGGCTGATTGGCAAGTACTTTAACCCTTTAACCTCCTTTCTGTTATCTCTTTGCTGTGCTGTTGTTCTCTGTATATTTATATATATATTGGTTACATCTTTTTCTGTAAATATTTTTTATTGCACCCTTTTTGACCTTTTAGTAATAAATGTTTTCTTCTGAAAGTGTTGAACTGTTTCTATAGCTCTTAATTGCAATTTAAGAATTCCTGCCTCTAAAAAGAGCTGTGTTTGTTTAACCCTCTGTATAACCAGACTGTGGTGACCGTGTTACACAGACGATTAGCTCAACCATTATGGTGTTATAGCTGATATTGCCGAGTTTCCTCTTTCTCTGTACAAAAAGGAGGTGGTGGCACTGTGAATGGTTAATTGCGTAATTAACCTGACCCAGTAACAATCGCTCAGGCTGCCGGTACATAGATTGTGATCCAATTAGCTGGAAAATCGTTGTGCAGGGTGCAGCTGGGTGTGGTATTGTTACGCACATGACGTCGTGGTTTTAGACTGGCTAGTCCTTTGGTCACGAGTTTGGTGAGAAGGGCTGGGGTCTGATGCCGCGTTCGTCACATATTGGTGACAGCGATCGTGGGATCGTCACATATTGGTGGCAGCAATCTTGCGTCCATCACAGGTACCTTCCCCATGTTGAGGAAATGTGGCCCAGTATGGTTCAGAAGGGGGAGCTGGACATTAGGCTGCATGATCAGATTAGGGTCTGCTAGGGATATTGTCTTGTTTTGCATTAGGATCCCCCTTAAAATCTTTACCTGAACCAAAGGATTACATTAACATAACCCTAGACTCTAACCCTAAACAACTAATTCAAACACCATAAGCCAGAAATCAAATAGACAGACCATGAAGGAACTGTGAAGAATGAAAATTAAAGTTTTTTAATGATGGGGCTGAACCACTAGAAACTGGGTTGCAATGATTTCTAGTGATCATCTCAGGCATAAGGTGAAAAAAACATGGCAAATGGTCCCAGTAGACACTGCTACCTTATGCTGTGGGCTCTTCAACCTTTCTGCAAATCTATACTTGTCAATGAAGACCACAGTCAGTCACTACAAAGAAAGGACCTACAAGCTCAAACAGGGTGTATAGAAACATGTAGTCTGGCTACACTATTGATCAGTGAAAACTGAATAGAAGGATTGCTTCACATTTATAAAGCTGAACTATGATGATAGATGAAAGATAAATATTTGTTTATGTTTTCGAAACAGGCCTTAAATTATACGTAAACCCAACCAATAAAATCTAATATTAGCTCTAACATCCTAATGTAGTTTTAAAAGTGAATTCAAATATTTAAAATAGTCAGATTTCATTAAAATCATATCTCTTGATCTTACCTTGTTCAGGTCCTTCATATAATTCTCCTTGTCTTACAATTCTACTCCTGTGTAATCACCCTGTCACATAGGTTTCCCATGGAGATTGCAAGCAACCTTTTCAACACACATTAATCTAGTATGGTTTTCTGTGGTCATCCCCAGGAGACCTGCCTTGAGAAATGCCACAAAGCCATCACTGCACATGCATGTACATAGGAAGCAGCTAGAAAGATGCTGCAAGGGATCAGCAGCACGGAAATTAATCAAAGGCAGTGTAAATGCTTAAACACTTTAAATAACTAAATGTCACCCATTCAGTGTTTATATTTAATGTTTATGTGTGTTATCCTAAGTGCAACATGTTTATCTTTGTGCTCAATGATTATTAGTGACAATCAAATTGTGGGAATTGCAGACAATCATCACACATGATATATATCATTCTTTGCAGAGTGGATTTATGGGCATGCATATGTTCAGGCAAATCAGACAATCTACAGTTTTCTGATTTTCCTGATTAGAGAATCAACTCATTCATCACTAACAATATTAAAGAAAAGCAGCAGGGAAAATAGAATATAAAAGACAGAACAAGCCATTATGGACATTCTTTTTTATTTAAGTGATTATCCATGTGTGAAAAACAATGATTATTGGTAATTGAATGCATGTTTAAGGTGTAATACTGTGGCTTTTGCTATAAAACACAGAAAACAATTCTGCATATGTGTCTTTAGAGCTGAATTGTTGTATGCATCATTATATTAGACTTGTTTAAGGTGGAAGTATGTCTAAGGTAAGTTTGTATTATATAAAAATCTTACAAAATAATAATAAAATAATCTTGTCTCCACTAAAGTATATCTACAGCTCAAACTTATTTTTAGGAAGAGTAGGGGAGGATTAAAACAACTGTCCTTAATTCCACTTTGCCATCTGTGTCTCCTCGGAAGAATTCTCTTCACTTTCTGCTCTATAGAATAAACAGTAAGTGAGAGGAAATTATTTGCAAGAAAAGGTAAAATTTCATCCTAGACAGCTGCCATGTAAGCAAGTGTCCCCATAGAAAAATGTCCTCTTTATTTCTGTTCTAGTGGCAACCCGAAATTTTGAATTTACCTTCACTTTCATTCCCCATGACATTGGTGAACAGGTAATCTAACTGCTTGGTGCCTGCGGTATGCAAATATGCGGCCTCATGGTGGGTGAGCCTTGACACCAAGAGGCCACATATTTGCGTACCAGTTGGAAAAACAACATATGCAGAGAGCGGACACCATACAGTTACTGACTCCTAGTGGAGAGCTCCCGATCACTACTTGCAATTAGGGGCTTTCTAATAATGTGACTGCTGTGACAGCCAATCATGGTGGTCATGTGATCATAAACCCCACCCTGCCTCCCGGTATCACAAGCATCTTAAAGCGCCGGGAGGTGCAACGCCAAGGGGGGTTAAAGAATGTGTGTCTCCCTGATAAGAACACAGGCAGAAATAAAAACCTGACAGTGGTTCTATCCCCTCACTACTGTATCCAAATCTAAAAAAGGTTTGCCTGCAGTTAAAATATAAAGTTTATAATTGTTATGGACATGATAACATGGCATAGCTGTAAAGGATAAGTTCACCTTTGGGAACATGTTACATGTTTCACCCATTTTTTAGGGTGGAACATGTAACATGTTCTCATAGCCGCTGCGCCCTCTCCCCATATTATCTGTCAAATTTGAAAACAGCGTGTCTATGCAGGGCTCCACCCACACAGCTGCGTCATTCATTCACAGACTTCAGTGAATTAATGAACTTCAAGTCCTAGCAGCCTTAGGGGCTGTGGGTTTGTAGTTTTCAGTGATTTACCATGGCACTGTGGATCACCGTGCTAATTCATTGAAGCTTCCTGTCAGTATATCTGCTTGCTTGTACATCCAGTACGGCAAGCAGATATTCTGACAGGTCTTCAGGAGACCTGCATGGCATCAGCGATCTACTGATCGCTGGTGCAATGCTTTCCAGGCTCCTGTAGACAAAAATAATAAATGCACATTTTGTTACCTGCAAAAAAATGAGCATTTATTATTTTTTTCTAAAAAGTGGATGGGCATTCATAGTCCTCTAAATCACATCAATGCTATTTCTTAACAATTATGTCCATCCAAACACATTTGAATAAGAACTCTATATACTATTTCTTAAAGCAATAGGATACAAATCAACTCTTCAAAAGGAATTGCGCATGCCGGTAGGCTCTATTTTTGTAAACTATTCAGATTAGTTTAATTTTTAATACTGATGGGAATAGAAGACAATCAACTGTTATACAGAGATATAAGTTTCCATAAAAGGTTTAATGTATGGTTCCACTTATTTGGACATTATATAGAAAGCAAGCGGTGCTACTATCCATTAGTCCATATGTAAAGCTCATGGGTGCGTGATCTTCAGTCACTCATCTGAAAGTGCTATATCCATATATTTGATCCACACAACCGATGTTGCTTATAAAATCTTGAAAAAACACAGGGTACAGCATGCAAAATACAGATTGTTGATGCGTTTCAGCCTACATGGCTTTAATCATAACTCATGTTAAATTTGGCTCATGCTGCTCCACTTTTAGAATGAATGTGAGACACATGCGAGACACTTTCACAAAGTCTGTCTGAGTGAGTTTATCTCTGTACGCCAAAGGAGAGTTGGTCTTAATTAGCTCCACTTTTACATTTGTTGAATTCAATGTGACACAATGTAAAAGTGTTGCATTTTAGAATGATCTGAACTTGGTACATGAGTCGCTGGCAGAACCAAAATTGTCGCAAGTTTTTAATGAATTTGGCATAATACATTAACAAGAGGGATTAACACCAGGAAAGTAGCATATCAACTTTATTGAACTCCCCTCATAATGTATTGTGGGGTTTTATGCAATCTTCAGGGCTAAAATTATTTCAATCTTCAGGGCTAAACTGATTTCTTAAACATATGTAAA